TACGATTAAGGCAGGTCGTAAGTCGGGGAGGAGCTGTATTGTACTCCGTTTTACCATCGTAACGAAGACCAGCTGGGACACCGATTCCCTCGCAACACTCACCTCCTACGCTCTGCACCCTCCACTCCTCTCTCACTGAGCCAGCTAACTTATGTGCAAAGAAATGTACAGTATATTCCCGTTGTGTTTGCACCTTAGGACAATTATTTCTTTTACCTTTTTCAGAATATGTATGTAGGATGATGTGTGTATGTAACAGAGTAAAAATAAACGAAGAAAATTACATACAGTAACACCTCGATAAATGGGACTTCAATATATTGGAATTTGTTTTTTTGGACTCTGAGATGCTCTGGTCACCAGAAATACTATTAAAAAGGGGGGGGGGGAGATTGTTAAAAAAAAATCTTATGAAATGAACCACTTACTGAATACTGTACAGTGGTCTAATCAGATTTGCTGTAGGCCTACCGAGAACTAAGACACATTAGTATGTAGGCAGGCTGGGGCTGATCAGGTGTTGCCACATTCGTCAGGTTTATTTATTGATTCAGTATTATATTTTCATATGATTGGCTTCTTATGGTTTATGGTTCATCATGATTAATATAACATCTTTAGTAATAGAGAAAAAATGCAATACTAAATGGGAACTGGAAGCTGACGGAAATCAGTCCTGTCCATATGGTATTGTAGGAGATAGCGACTGCACCCTCCCCTCCTTCACCAAGAGATCACTACACAAACGTGTATACAGTTTCTCCTCGACTTTCGACACATTTGACTTACGATAACCCGGACATACGGCGGCCATGGTCGTTTAAAATATTTTTCACATTACTTATTTTCGAGTCCCGACGTTAGTGATCGCACTGTGTACTGACAAAATTTTCATTTGTAATTCCCTTTAAAATGGCTGGCAAGCGTAAAAGTGAGAGTTCTCGTGGTGCTGAGAAGAAAAAGAGACACCCATTTTAGAATTTCTATGTATTATTTTCGACTTGCTACCTGGTCGTCAGGACGGAACCCCATCGTAAATCGAGGAGAGACTGTAGTTCATGAAGCACAAGTCAACTTGTGGCATGGATGACTCATTAATGAGTAATACGGTTTAAAATCAAAAGATTTTCAGGGAATTATTCGTATATACGTACAAACACAGTATTTATAAAAAAATAATAATAATGATGGACCATCCAACCTTTTGCAATTTATAAATCTGTTATTTCTAATTTCCATTCATTTTCATGAATGTATTTTATAAATTTCGAGAAAAGGGCCCTAGCTTTTAATCCGATACAGCAATACACACACCTCCAACATTTATTATTATATATTCTCGTATGATCAGCCACTTATGGTGTATGCTTTGTCATTTATAATATAAAATATTAAATACTGTACTATGACATGTATAGAAAAATTACAAACTATTGCTTCATGGGTCCTCTGTGCGTGGGTGGCAGGAAGCTGAGACGCTCGGGATAACTTGGTCGGAGGCTCACGCGCTGTGATTGGCTAATGCTGTCATGTGACCTCTTGGGACATCTGTAATTGGCTAATGTATCTTGTAGATACACCTCAGGCTAGCCTCAGGGCAAGCTTAGTGCATAATTCTTTGTCACCAGCCCCCCTACAAGGTTCATCTGTTGCTCGCTACTGTTTTTTGTGCAGTTTGTTGTGCAGTACTGTACATAGGACACAATTAACCTACAACACAGCATTTAAGCCTCCCACACAGGGAGGTGCTACCGCCTGGGAAGATATTGGAAGCATAATGTGTTGTCTAATGGTAGAACCTGCTGTTATAAGGCATAACAAAAATTGTGACCAAGTCCCAGGTTGCTGATGTGACTTTCTGCCTCATTTACACACGGTTGCAGGGTCTCAATTGTTTCTCTTACTTTGACAACACAACATGCATACAGTACATCGTTTCTTAATATTGATTTTTTTTAAATTTTATTATTAATATTAATATTACTGTATTATTATTAGTAGTAGTAGTATACTGTAATATTTTATTTTATTTTTTTATTAGATTTTGTTAGTACAGTAGTTATTATTGTTATTATTATTATTATTATTATTATTATTATTATTATTATTATTGTTATTATTATTATTATATTTTTGCCCCCCAGGCCCTGATGTGGGTCATTGACCCGTGCCCGGGTGGGCTAATCCTTGTAAAAAAATAAATAAATAAAAAAAAAAAAAAAATAATAATAATAATAAATATTGTATTGTTAATGACAGTACAGTACAGTAGTTTGATGAATAGTACTGACAATTGTAGTACGCTATTATTCATCAAACGACTGTCATTGACGATGCAATATTGCTTATTTATTAATTACCGTATTTGCTGGTGTATAAGACACATTTTTATTTATTTCTTAATGCATCACAAATTACCCTGCATCTAATGCACCCGTTTTATGGATGGGAGGCCAAGCTCCATAGGCGGAGGTGCCTAGTTAGGGAGTCTGGGACGAGCAGTAGTCCACTAAGCACAAAACTTGTGTTACTAATAATATTACTAATAATAAAATACACCTAGACCCCGACTTACGACTACGTGGACTTACGACCGTCGGGACTTACGACCGCCTCAGATATAGATAAAAAAAAAAAAAAAATTTTTAAATGACACGCATTTTCTATACCGAAACGTTTCCAGTTAATGTAGTCTCCATGTATAATTAGAAAATTATGGGGGCCCCATGTGCATTCAGCTGACTACATTAAAGGTAAGTGCTCAGTCACACTGTAAACATTCCTTATTATTTATTACTTTCACTGTACTGTATCCATTCCTCATTATTCATTACTTTTACTGTACTGTATTTCATTGTAGATTATTTATTTAAAAAAAAAATAATAATAATAATTTTTTTATCTATGTCGGACTTACGACCTGGATTTGGGTCCCTAACCCCGTCGTAAGTCGGGGTCTAGGTGTACCGAAAAACAAGCCAATTCTCACAATCTATTATCACAAGCTTACGGCAAATTTGCTGAAGACGTAAATAATGGCTTAACGGCAGAGGGAAGCTCACAACATCTCACTGTACCTCCTTCCTCAGCATACGTAACCCACACAAGATACACGTCTTCCATCATTTAAGGACTGTATTACTTTTAAGAAATATTTGTTTATTATCTAAATGAAAAATGCTCCTAGAAAGATGAAGAAATGTTAACAGAAAGTTCAGCCGCCAGTCAGCCATTTGCAATGAGTCGATGACGCCAAAACAATAGCGATGGTGCTACACCCTGGTGGCCGATCATGGCAACACAAAACATCACAGACAAAAATACGAGTTTCACATCCTGTCGGTAATTCTCTGACCAGAGGTAGAGTTGGGTTAGTATAATATTACTATACTGTACTGTATATGATTTCCTACTTGATTCCAGTATACATTGTATTTACATGCACAAAATCATATGTTTCCCCCAACAAAACCACTTTAAAATCACTTTCAATAATTGTATGGCAAAACGTACTTAAAAAAAAAATTGCACAAAATATCCTTGTAAAATAGGGGTGCGTCTTATATGCCGGCAAATACGGTAATACCACAACACCACCCCCAGACACCCTAACACAACCCACACACCCCCATATTGTATGACATAAATTTATGCGTGGTTAACTACATGGTGGTGAATTAAAAGATCGGCTGTTGAGCATAGCGCCTGGCAATACTGGTGCATGTTACCACTCCTTTCCACTCCATCGCTCTTGTCACCCACACCTTTCAGCTTTCTCATTACACATTTTAAAATTTTATGTAACGTTATGTTGAAGGAATACAATGTGATAAGTGTAAGTACCGGGTATAAAAAATACTGTATTTTAGCCTTCCTGTTAATTCAAGACATCTTCAGGTCCTAATCCCCCACCCAACAGTGGGTGACCTGACATTGTATCAGGTCAGTAATATGAGAGCATTAATATCCCACCCTACCTCCACTTGACATTGTGTCAGGTCAGGTCAGCTAAATGAGACCCACTAATCCCCCACAGCTCTAATGGAGTGGAAACCCCCCACCCAGTCTTTGCTGTAACACACAGCTTCATTCATGACCATATCATGTTGAATTTTCCTTTAGACTTGGAAAACTCCCCAGCACACAGAAACATTCTGAGGATGTGGGCTGGTGTTTGTCTGTGCAAGATGCATAGTTCAGACACTTGGAAAGTTTTTTCTATTAACCGGAAATATTTCCGGGGATGGGTGATTTTCCGGGTTTGAGAAAGTCGTCTGGTTAGCCGGAAATCTCTCATCCCCGGAAGTGCGCTGCACCAATTGTTCCTGCTAATACATACATACATACATACAGTGCATACATACATACGGGAATTAGCCTACCCGGGCACAGGTTGAACGACCCACAACGGGGCCTGGGGGCCGAAAAAATAAGAACAGAAAGAGGTTTAAAAAGAAAAGAAAAGGTTATACTGTGTTAACTAAACTGTAGTACTGTATTTTTCTCTTGAATTCCTTTATCTCCTCCTTAAAGGCAAGCATTCTGTATGTTTGTAAGGAATTTGTCCCTTCATGTTCTTTTGTTGTTAAAAATTAGTTTACAATTCCTTACCACAAATTTAATGAATATTTATGAATATTATTTATATGAATTTTTTAATTATGTATGTGTTTGGTAAAGATTATTTGTGTCTTGAGTTTTTTCTAACTTTGTGAAAATACTTTTATTTTCATTAAATTGAAATTGGGCAAATTAGCTTAAAAATTATGCAGATTATGAAATCATGCATAATGCTTTAGCCAGTTAAAGCATTAAAGAGTTCAGTACAGTACCTGCTGCAGTTGAAATTTTGAAAATGCTTTAATAGTTGTTAGTGTGTGTGTGTGTTTATCTATTATGTCTTATTTAATGTCCTTACTTGAGTGAAATTACCTATGATAAGGTATGTGTGACATTTCAGTGATTACCAAATGTTTAATATATACATCCTGAATTAACAGATATGATCACATCCGCCCAGACCACCATAATCAATCAGATTATACTGAGCAAGAAGATCCTACTGGAGGTACCCCTTGCTCTCAGGCCATGTTGGATGGCAGATTTGACCTAAGACATCGAGATGGTCATCAAGAAACAAAAATGCAGTCTAGTCAACCAAGTGCACTTGGTGTAAGGTGAGGGCTGTTACTGTGTGTAGGCATATATCTATTTAAAAAGTAATATTTTATGCTTTTAAACATGGTCCCATGGCAGAACTTAACTCTTACCAGTATTCAGCAAACTACAATACACCTGTTCCAAATACTACTTATCTTTTTATTCTCAGTGGAAATTTCAAATTATATACAGTACTGTAGGCTCATCACTTTTGTTCCGCAAAAGTGATGAACATAGTTTACATGTTAAAAGGTCAATTGGTACTGGGCAAAACCTCTTCCACCCCCCACTTTTCCCCGATAAAGCACCCAAACTCTGCCTGAATTTCTGGATATATTTTAAAATTTATTATTAAGTTTACTTACACGACCTTTTTTAAACTCGCATCTTTCCCCATCACAGGAAATAGTATGTCCATGTAGAAATCTCGCCATCATTTAAGGGTAAAGCAACATCTCTCACACACACACACACCCACCCACTCACTCACTCTCTGTGTGTGTTCCATTTACATAAAATTGGGATTTCAGAATGATAGTAACTGCCTGTTCACTTCCTAGACCTCAATAACAGGAACGTGTGTTTACATTTACCATCCTAAATATACAATACAAATAATAATCTCACTTTATTATGAAAAAGAATAAACAATTATAGTCAAGTTAATATCAGTAAATGAATTAATGTCTTATTACCACTTTAAGGGCTTTGGTCACAGTAGGTATGGTTCACTGAACTTTTATTCTTGTAAACAAACTCAGGGTAGATGACATGCAGTGATGATGGTGGTACAGTACAGTAAGTACAGTAGAAGTCCAAAAATCCGGACTGCTTGGGGATTGGGTCGGTCCGGATTTTCGGATTTTCCAGATTCTCAGGCAGTACTTTTAAAATTAAAATTTAAGGAGGAATAAAGAAGAGATGAACAGGTACATTTTGATAGTTTATTCATTAGCAAATAAAGCATGCTTCATTTTTCAAAACGAGCAGTTTTAAAGAAAAATAAAGTCAACACGACAAAAATGTAAACAAACTGTCTAATACCATGACAAGTCTTGAAATTCCTAAGCCATCCATCACTAAATGTGCACTCTGATTCAATGTTCATTTGCTCCTTAAAAGACTTTGCTTTGGCAATAAGCATCGGTCCAGAAATTGCCATACCTTCTGATCGTTTTAACAAAAACCATTCGTGCAACACTTTATCCAAGATTTTTTAATTTGGGCCAATGTAAACTTTTTCTTTCAGCAATTTTAATGTAAGGCTCAGAAGAAGCTGTGAATTCTAGAATTTTATTCTTTGCCTCTTTTATATCATAAATTGTAGACTTTCCAATGTATGTTTCCATTAGAACAGCATTGCTCACATTACATTCTAGTTTCTTAATTATTTCAAGTTTGTCACTCAATTTCAATGTGTTCTTCTTTCTCTTCACACAATGAAGTTTATCTACTTTAGGGGCCATTATTATGGGCTTGTACTCTGTACATGGAAAGAGTAGGACTCAAAATTACATACGTTGTCACAGTTTGATTGCTTGTTTTAAAGTGTCGATCGTGTGGTCGTTTGTTGTCCCTGTGCAGCTGTGGCATTCACGCATGCACACATACACACAAAAGATTTATAGTGCCTCAAATTTTACATTTCAGTTCAAGCTAATTACAAAACTAACAAAATTAGCTACCTATAATTTACAATTACTTTTATTATTAGAATTATGTAAATTAATTTTTTAAAGCAACTCCATTCATTAACATAACCCACAAAAGCCCGCTAAATTTAAAAAGTTTGAGTTTTCGAAAAGTCCGGATTCTCGGGTGGTCTGGATTCCTGGCATCCGGATTTTTGGACTTTTACTGTATGTACTAATGGTAATTTTGACTTAGGGTACTTCTTTGTTTATTTATTGTTGAATTAATTTTGAATGAAGTTTGGATGCTTTTTTATTTTATGTTTGTTTGTTTTTATTTGCAGGGCATATTATATAGTAACCTTTATCGCAAAACTTTCTATAACGGTGGAATTTTTGGCTGTACAGTATGATGAACCTGGGTACTAAAATACAATTTCCATAAGTGAGAAATTCCATGTACAGTGGTGCCGTGTATCGAGGACTTCCAACAATAATTTTCCTTTGACCTATCTCAGGTACTGCTTGCATCAACTCATCCCAGAACTTGTCCCTTCTCTTCCTCACTTAGTCCAACCTTGTGGGGTACAGGTATATGCAGATATAAGTCACCAGATTCTTGCCCAACAGAAGCTTCAAAACATTTATAGGAATTAATTCATGCAGTAAAGAATAAAATAGTACAGTGGTCCCTCGGTTAACGAGCTCCTCGGTTAACGAGATTTCAATTAACGAGTTACCTCCCATAAGATTCTAAACTTCTGTTAACGAGCAATCCCTCGATTAACGAGTTTCTTACGAGCCGACCTCAACATGTTTTCGCTTGCACTTGGCGGTCAACCAGCTGTAGTATTAGTCCGCCAATACAGTAATCGGTTCTAGGGCTTAAATTCCTTACTATTTTATTAAATATCAAGAAGTTTATACTATTCAATAATTTTAAAAGTTTAATATTAAATTTTTTAGTCATTTTAACAAATATTGAACATAATTGAAGGTAAGGTCACTAGTTTCTGGCACGCCATCCAGCCTGTGAACACACCAAACAAGCATTGGTCTCTCTCTGTTTTCAGTGGAGGTAACATCTTGCTTGAGACTCTTCAACTAAATGCTTTTTTTCTGTGTTTCCAAGCAAATTATTGGTCATTTTGAAATTTATTTTACATATTGACAATAAATAGTGCAGTGCAGTGTTATTTTAAAGAAAATATTCTTTATTTACAGCTAGTTTAAACTTAAAAGATAATGTGTTGACATTGTTTGAATCCAGCATGGGGCCTAAGAGATCAAGAAAATCGATTTCAATCCAAACCAAGCAGGAAATTATTAAGAAACATGAAGAAGGCATTAGAACAAATGCGTTATAGAATATGGCATGTCGACATCAACTTTGTCAACAATTCTTGCACAGAAAGACAAATTTAAAGAAGTGAAAGTGAGAGACAAATCTACCAGAGTGTTTAAAGGTAGAGTCCTAATTTCAGAAACAGAGAGGTTACTTCTCATCTGGATTCGGGAAAAAGTGATGAAAGGTGATTCAGTTTCTACTGAATTCATTTGTGAAAGAGCCAGGGAGATTTACGAACATTTAAAGACAGATCAACCTGGTTCTTCAGGCACAGAATTTGAAGATTTTCGGGCCAGCAAAGGCTGGTTCAAAAAATTTAAGAAAGGAAGTGGCATTTTCAGTGTTATTAGGCATGGCGAGGCTGCTAGTGCTGATAAGGAAGGGGCAGCAAAGTGTTTAGTGGAATTTAAAGAACTGATGGAAGAAAATTATTTTCCACAGCAAGTGTTCAGTGTGGATGAAACTGGGCTGTTCTGGAAAAAAGATGCTCAAAAGAACATTCATCACCAGAGATGAAGCCTCTTTACCTGGGCATAAACCCATGAAAGACCGTTTCACTCTATTGCTTGGTGCCAATGCTTCAGGGGATTTCCGACTGAAGCCTATGCTTGTCTACCACTCTGAAAACCCCAGGGTGTTCAAGCAACAGAAAGTGGTAAGAGCAAAGCTTGGAGTTTATTGGAAGTCCAACCGTAAGGCATGGGTGACAAGACAGCTCTTTAATGAATGGGCTGTTGAGGAGTTTTGCCCTTCTGTCAAGAGCTACCTAACCACCAATAAACTCCCTTTAAAGGCTCTTCTCCTCATGGGTAATGCTCCTGGTCATGACCCTGACCTTGCCAGAACTTTGGAGTATCAATTTGACTTTGTGAAAGTGTTGTTTTTGCCTCCCAACACTACATCAATCATACAGCCAATGGACCAGAATGTGATCAGCAACTTCAAGAAGTTGTACATGAAGAAAATGTTTAGGTGGTGTCATCAGGCAACTTCCAATGATCCTGAACTAACACTGAAACAATTCTGGAAGACACAATTCAACATCCTGGAGGCTGAAAAATTGGTTGTGTCATCATGTCAAGAAGTCTCCACTAGGTCCCTCAATTCTTCATGGAAAGCACTGTGGCCATCAGTAGTCCATGATTTTGAGGGATTTCAGAATGACACAGAGTTGGACCAGGGGATTGCATCCATTGGCCAGTCATTGGGCCTTGAAGTGGAAGAGGATGATGTCGAAGAGCTTGTGATGTTTCATGAGGAGGAACTTACTCCTGATGACTTGAAGCAACTGGATGAGATGTTAGAGGCTGACAATGGTGAGGAGGAAATGGAAAGTGATCACCATATGTCAACTTCAGAGTTTAAAGATGTGATTTACCACTGGGAGAAGTTCAGGGAACTGGCTTCAAAGCACCCAGATGTGGAAAAATCTGAACTAACTTTGTGTCATGTTGAAGACACAATGGTCTCCTTTAAACATAAGTTAATGGTGAGGAGGAGAGATGCCCCACAGACCACAATTGACACTTTCTTCAGTGAAAGGCAGAGGGAACAAGATGCTATCCCTCAGCCTTCCACTTCAAGAAGGAGAGAGGATGATGCTAGCCCTCAGCCTTCCACTTCAAGAAGGAGAGAGGATGTTCATGGTGGAGAATCTGTCAGTCCAGAGGTTCCTCACATTTTCATGGAAGGTGACTCACCTTCCAAGAAGCAGTAAAATGCTTCTCCTCCACCTCCACTTCCTTCTCTTCTCCCTTCTCCTCCTCCACCTCCCACTTCAAATTCACATCAGCATCCAGGAGCCTTCTACATACACACCTCAAAGTAAGTGTAATTTTCTACCTTTTTTGTTGAATTTAGGCAATTTTCGGTGAGCTGGAACCAATTGCCCAAAAACCCATTGAAATAATGGTTTCGGTTAACGAGATTTTCGGTTAACGAGCAACCTGCTGGAACGGATTGTGCTCGTTAACCGAGGGACCACTGTACAGTAATTTTGAGAGGGAAATGAAATAAATGTGAAAAAATATTTTGTTGCTGACTTTAGGCATGCTTACAAAAATAGTGTCTAGATATAACTACTGATGAAGAAATAAGGAGTGTACATGTACAAATAGGTAAGGACATTTTTCCTGAAAATACTGTACTGGGTAGTATGTCAGGGCCAACATGCTTAGATTGTATTGTATCACTTTCATAAATTTGGTAGTGTCGTAGCAGTCTTTGACCTGTAGTATCAATCTCTTATTGCTGGAAGTATTGAAGCTAAGAATGACGAGGCTTCTTTAAATACAGAAGTACAGTCGTAGTCAAAAGTGATTATCAACTCCTCCTACTACCATATCTGCGGCGAAGGGGGAGGTATTGATGGGGGGAGAGCTATTGGTGGCGGGCCCATGTAAGGTAGGAGGGTGCAAGTCAAGGGCCACATACATAGTAAGAGTGTATGTGATATTAGAATTATCTTTAACATCAGAAGGTGTTAAGGTTGGTGGATATAGCTTGATGTTGACTGCCTTAATGACCCTGGCATTTGATAGGTCTAATGCCCAAATAACCAACAGATGTCCAGTGAGAGACTGGAGATGGTTGGTCAACAGACGTCTTCCTGCTTTATACACCTTGGCTGGGGTTCCATCAGTCCCTGAGGCTTTATTATTTTTCATCTGTTTGATGATAAAAGCTGCCTGATCCAGGGATGGAGGATAACTGAGGTGGGTTAGCTCTGGATACTGAGGGACCTGCTAGGTAATCAGGACATCCACATTGGTGTTTTGGTTAAGCAATGAATGGTAGTGCTCTTTCCAGTGCTGAAGGATGCCTTAATCGTCTTTAATTAGGGAGTTACCTTCGGATGAACGGAGGGGGACTGCGCCATGAGTGATTTACCCATAAAATGTTTTAGTGGAATTTAAAAATTTGTGCATCTTGTGCTGATATGCAAATTTTTCTGTTTCACATGCTTTATTTTTAAGCCAGTCATTCTTGAGATTGCGAAGTTTGTGCTGGGCCACCACTTTCTTCTTGCGGTAGGTATCAGCTTTGGTCTGAGACCGAGGGTTGTTCTGCCAGTCAGTTAAAGCGGCACGTTTATCCTCAACGATTACATTGATTGACGGGTCATTTTCATCAAACCAGTCCTGGTGTATTCTCTCGATCTGGCTGAGGGTCTCTCTGCAGGTTTTTGAGAATATCCCATTCGACACTGGGATTTGGGTTATTTGTTGTCGAGTTGTTTATCAGCTTCTGTTCGAGCTGCTCTCTGAAAGTATGTGCTACCACTGGATCCTCGAGATGCTCAGTGTTGAAATCTTTTCTGTAGGCTTGCTGCCTTCGCTGTTTTGGTGCGACGTGAAGTGATAGCTTGGCTCTGACGAGCCGATGATCAGTGTTGCAGTGGTCTGAGCCGTGCATGGCTCGGGCGATGAGGACAACTCGGCGATCTCTTTTTCTGACAATGATGTAGTCAACGAGATGCCAATGTTTGGATCGTGGGTGTTGCCACGAACCCTGGAACTTGTCCTCCTGCCTAAACAAGGTATTGGTGATAGTGAGGTTGTGTGCATCACACTTGCTGAGAAGGTGTAGGCTGTTGGGATTGCAATTGCCCAGTCCATTTCTCCCTATGGTTCCCTGCCATATGTCAACATCTCTGCCAACTCGGCCATTGAAGTCACCAAGGAGCACAACCTTATCTTCTCTGGGGGTAGAGGTTAGCACTCTGTCGAGGCCGGCATAAAAGGCCTCATTGATGTCATCCTCTGCATCTAGTGTTGGGGCGTATGCACTGATGAAAAAGACATGACTTGAATGATTCACTGGGACTTGGGGTGTCATGAGGCGCTCGTTGATCCCAATAGGTATTTCAGTTAGCCTATGTAGGATGCGTTGGCGAATGGCAAAGCTAACTCCATAAATGCAGTTTCTCTCCGCAGCAGGCTTACCTTTCGAGAAGAAGGAATAGCCAGACCCCTGTTCTGTGAGTTGACCCTCGTCTGGGAGCCGGGACTCTAATGGCTGCTATGTCGATGTTATACCTAGCCAGCTCTTTTTCCACAAGGGCAGTTCTTCTTTCAGGATGCTCATTTGTGCCAGTATCCAGAAGGGCCCTGACATTCCATGCAGCGACCGAAAGAGGGAGGTTGTATAGTTTGGATTTGTGATTATGATTGTGTTTTCGACCACATAAGGATGACCTTACTGGGTGCGGTTGCCCACCACCACTATGAACAACAACTCATCAACAACACTCACCTTCACCAACAACACTCGCCACCCCCATCAACACTCGCCACCCCCATCAACACTCGCCACCAACAACAACACTCAACATCATTACCACAAAACCACCAACAACAACACTCACCACCACCACCAACAACAACACTCAACATCATTACCACAAAACCACCAACAACAACTCTCACCACCACCACCACCAACAACAACACCACCAGCAACAACAACACTCAACATCATTACCACAAAACCACCAACAACAACACTCACCACCACCACCACCAGCAACAACAACACTCAACATCATTACCACAAAACCACCACCAACAACAACAACAACAATAACAACAACACTCAACAATAACAACAACACTCAACAATAACAACAACACTCAACCTCATTACCACAAAATCACCAACAACAATAACAACAACACTCAACCTCATTACCACAAAATCACCAACAACAACACTCACCACCACCACCAACAACAACAACAACAACAATAACAACAACACTCAACATCATTACCACAAAATCACCAACAACACTCACTACTACCACCACCACCAACAACACTCACTACTACTACCACCACCAACAACAACTACACACACCTTCACCACTGACAACACTCACCACCATCAATAATAATACTCACCACCACCACTTATAACATCACTCACCTCTACCACCACCAACAACACTCATCACCACCACCACCACCAACAACAACAGTACTCACCACCAATAACAACAACAGCACTCACCACCAAAAACAACAACAGTACTCACCACCACCAACAACAATAGTACTCATCGCCAACAACAGTACTCCTCAACACCACTCGCCACCAACAACAACACTTGCCATCACCAACAACAATATTACTCACCACAACACTCACCACCAATAACAACTATCACCACCACCAACAACAACACCACTCACCACCACCAACAACAACAACACCACTCACCACCACCAACAACACTCACCACCACTATCAACAATAACACTCACCACCACTACCAACAACAACACTCATTGCCACCAACAACAACACCGCTCGCCATCACCAACAACACTCACCACCACTCACCATCACCACCACTGCCAACAACAACACTGCCACTAACAACAAGAACAACAACACCAGTGGTCCTGTAGTTTGGCTCCTGTGGAACCATGTTATGGAACCCACAAGGGTTTAATAGAAAATTGTGAATTATTTAAGGATTCTTTGAAAGAGTGAAATTAATGAAAATATGTGATAACTTGATACAACAGAGAGAGAGAGAGAGAGAGAGAGAGGGTTTTTTTTTTTTATCCCCTCTTCTCAGCGTACCAGCCATTCGGGCTATCCAGTGGTAGTACAAGGAGGAAACCCGGGACCAGGGAACCTGTGATATTTGGCGGGGATCACACTGGATAACGCCTTTCTCATGTGTGTCCGGGCTGAGGATTGAGCCCTTGACATATTGGTGAGTTACGCGTGTTACTTGGGGTGTGGGTGGTGTTGGGGTGTGTGAGTGGTGTTGGAGTGTGTGAGTGGTGTTGGGGTGTGTGAGTGGTGTTGGGGTGTGTGGGTGGTGTTGGGGGACTGTGGCTACTGTTTGGGGTAAACAGAGTGCTTGGAGCTGATTGGCTGAGTGAATGAAAATACAGAGAGTTGCTCTTGGTGTGTTATGAGTATTCAAACTTGTGACTCCAAGTTGCAAGCAAGAGTGCTATAACAAAACATTGCTGTACAGGGTAGTGCTAACCTGGGTATTACTGTACAGTACAGGTATATATTATTTTATGTACAAAGAATAAGTTCCTCCATATGCAAACCTCCCATCATCCCATGTGGGTGTTGTGACCTTCCTTAAGGTAATGTACCGAAGTTGAACAGTATTTTATTCATTCTTTCATGTGTTAGGTAGTAAATTAGAGTACTGTAGTTGTGTATGATTTATCATTAGTGAGGTAGGTTTGTTCTTGTTTGTGAAATGATTTTTTTTTTGAGGTATGATATTGAGGTATATTATTTTGTCATTGGGGAACTGAATCCTGAATCCTATTTTCACCACATGTTATTTTATTCGAGAATCAAAATTCACCTAATTAAATTTTTTTTTTAATTTAACCCATTCAAATCTCAAGGAATACCTGTACAGTGAAAAAAATTAAATCCATCCATCTTTCATGAATTTCCCTGCTTTCTTCTATCCCCTCCCTCTCTGATAAGGAACTTTGCATCACATCACCCCCCCCCACCCCAGCAAACGGCCCTCCTTCAAGTCGACCATTCCCCCTCTCCACCCCATCTGACTTACCATGCAGAAAGGACCCGGCCAGGTGTGGGGGTTAGGTGGTGGAGTGGGCAATTACTTTTGACTGCGACTATACATCATGTTATAAATATGTGTCCGTGGTACAGTCTCTCAGTGTATAGCATGAATCTCAAAGTGTATTCTAGTTGCAGCAGAGGGGAAAGGGTATGAGAGATATTATTAGATAAATGTATTATAGATATTTATGTATCTGATTATTCTGATTTTCCCATTTTTCATTCCTTCATTCCTTTTCAAGTGTATTAAAGAAAGCCACTTTATTATTATTCATTTTCAGTGTACATGCCAAGGAATTCATATATAATCCTCCAAGTGGCCCACCTGCTACTAGTGGTACCAGAAGTTTGGGCACCACCACCAGTAGTAGCAATAGCACCAATAATAACAGCAGCAGCAGTATTTTACCAAGATTGAGCAGTAGACAAAAGAGTTTAGAGAGTTCATGTGGAGAGAGTCCTGCACCATCATCATGGGTGGATGCTCCTGAATTTGTACCTAGATTTGCCAAAGATAATATTTCTAAGCGTAAGTACTGAAGTTTATTCAATGCACTTTCAGAATTCACTCACAGAAATATTTGATTACAGTACAGTATTCATTTAGTTGCTATGGCTTTGCCTGGCTGTATTGTAATTAAAAATGTTATAAAATTGTATCTCATTAGCTTGTTACTGATCCAGGGAAACTTGGCAAAAAATTCTGTAGAACTTGTTGCAGAAAGTTAAATTGTCAGATATTCATTTTTTTTCTGATATTTTATTTTATTTTATTTTTTATTTTTATTTTTTTTATAATGCTCCCACTGTGTAGCATTGTCGGTAATACTGCTTTGCTCTGTAGCTACGGTAGTTGTATAACTAACACTTCAAGAGTTTTTAATGTATTGTTAAAGCAATTCGTAATTGTTGCATGCATACTATACATGCGTGGGATATGATGTTGTTAAATAAATTTTTACTCAAAATAACACGTTTTGAACTTAGCCTATATTCAGATACGTACTTTTTACCCATTTGGGTTAATAGTTTAAATAATTAAATCTATCAGTTTTCAATTTATTGCTTGGAAACTTTACTGTATATATATATATATATATATATATATATATATATATATATATATATATATATATATATATATATATATATATATATATATATATATATATATATATATATATATATATATATATATATATATATATATATATATATATATATATATATATATATATATATATATATATATATATATATATATATATATATATACATACATATATATATATATATATATATATATATATATATATATATATATATATATACATATATATATATATATACATACATACATACATACATATACATACATACATATATATATATATATATATATACATATATATATATATATATATATATATGTATGTATGTATATATATATATATATATATATATATATATATATATATATATATATATATATATATATATATATATATATATATATATATATATATATATATATATCACACATATATACATATACACTGAACAGTCAGTTTATCATGTAATTTTTAGCATTCAGGAACTAGAAAGTTACCTAACTCCTTTGCCAGGATGCTAGTTCATCAATGGGTTATTCTGCCATCAGCAAGTGCACTCAATGATAAATATATCCATATACAGTACAGTACTACTGAGTGCACAAGGGCTAGTATTTAATAAGGAAACCCAGTTCACTGTGCAATGTAGGATGCAAATATTATTTGTACTCAGACTTTCTTGTCTATCATTGAAATTTAAATTGTGATTTAGTCACTTACAGTAGTTCCATTTCCAGTTTGGATGTGTGGTAAGTTTAATGATAATGATGAATCAAATTTCATACAAGTATGTGTTTTGAATTGTCAGTTTTAATAGCTGTATTTATCTCCAAGTTTTAGTTGGTGTGATCAGTAGTTTTGTTTGTTTGATGTGATGAGTTCACATGGTAATTTAGGGAACCATCGTCACTGATGACCTATTGAAATTTTCATGGCTTAGGTATTTAGTATTGTGCTAGTGTGAATTATACCAAGTCAGGTGGTTTTAGTTTGGTTCCCTTTCAATATAGTGTGTTCTTTAATGCCACACATTGAAAAATGTCTAGATTAAAGTTTCCTTGTCATTATAAGGAAAGAGAGAGTTGCTGCTATATCAAAGGTCTCATTGCATATCAGTAGTGAATCCTTTGAGAGTTTACAGGGTACCTATGGCTACCTGATCACTAAAACCAGAGTACAATAATGTGCATAAAAAAGGTTATTATATTTAAATTTTTGGAATGGGTTTCCATAGAACCCTAGAAATACTTTTATTTTCATGCATACAAGCCTGTTCCTGGCTTTTCAGGTTCTGATTTTCTGAGTATGTATAAGGACAGAACCCAGTTCTCTGCTCCATTTGGGAATCAAACCCATTGCAGTTTTCTTTTTGGGGCTGTCCCACTCTGAATTTGTATTTCTGTGCTCATCATCATTATAGGTATCACTGTTTTATGGCCATTTTCCAGCGTGTGAGTTAGCTGTGATTACCTGACAGTTTGATGTCCCAAGTGCCATCAAGGAAATTTGAAGCAAGTTTTATGACTAGATACCCATCCTACTGCCAACAAACTTTTACTGAGTGGGAACTGGTCATTATAATGTAGACTTCAAAGTGCCCTTTAGCTGGCAAGGCAGGGTTGCTAACTTTCAGAGGTAATCAAAGATTACCCGCCAATTTTTTTGCTCAATAAGGGGGCCATCATACAAAGATGCTCAGATAACTCTGAAACACAATGGAGAGAGAGCCTAGTATATCTCAAGGTTGCAGCGACCAAAAACAGCCGAAGGCAGATAATGGTAAACACAATTACTGTATACTGTATAGGATTTGAATGAAACTTCTCATATTGAGGACCTACTAGGACTGTATCTAGATGGTGGTGATAGTGATATGGACTGTAAAATACTAGATGAGTACTCACAACTTGTTTTTTCTCTCCTCTCCTTGACATCTGATGCCTTCTGTTTCAACTTTATAAATTTTCGAAAAATACTTACACAATGGGATCACTCAGCCTAAAGATGTAGCATTGACTGGGCTAATTCACCATTTTCAAATGAGAGCTTTATCATAAATTTAAAAGTATTCCAATTGGGAAAATGTGTGAATTAAGACACTCACTAAACTTTATTTAATTCTATGGATCCTAAGCTATGTGAATAGGCTAGGTTCTATGAAAGCCCTTCAAGCATTGATTAATTGGATGGAAATAATGCAGTACTGTAAGCCGAGCTTACTGCTGTTTTTAGTTTTATTTTTGAGCTTTACACAATTACAAAAACATTATGTAAGGTGTTAGACCTAAAAACAACGATACACTAAATAAAATATGTTCTCCACTGCATGCTTGATCTGAGCATGCTTGAATATTGTGGCAATGGTAGAAAAGGGCCGTTTAGGTCTCCCGATTTTAGTTAGAGCCTTCCCCCATTCATAACACTTGAATATCTCAAGCTTGGCATCAAGCGTCACAGGCTTGTGGGATCTCTTGGGTGATCGTGGAGGCTGCAGAAGGAGCGTGGGAGGATATTGGTGGGGTGACATCATGTGCCTAGAGTGAGAATATGTTCCTAAAATGGCTGGCCACCTGACTCCTGGGCTGTGCATCATGCAATTTGATTTTTCTTTCAGATCATCATTTGGATAAGTGAATGTTACCTTGGCTAGCGAGATGAGGTGCAAGAATAGAACGTTCAAGAAAGCTGATATTCGATAAAAGATCATTCTGATAGCGAGGGATAACTGTATTCGTACATTAATCAATTACAGGATTAAATTTTTTCTCCAAAGCTAGATTTTGCCTTAGAAGTTTAGGATTGATTTGATCTGGGGAGAAGATGAGAAATAACTGGTTTTGTTGTAGTTAAATTCATAGGTTAGTGACTATACCCATTAAAATAGCGACGATTTTTTTTTTCCCTTAGCATTAGGAAAGGAGTTTTGTGTATTCATAACGTAAGTATGGAAATTTATGTTATAGCATTAAAATAAAAGTTTCTTTTCATAATGTACAGGGGAACCTACGAATAAGTATACACACTGTAGCTGTAAGGTCGAAAATGTGTGTGTAACGTTGAAACTAGCATCCAGATACATGATGACTCAGCTCCCCCACCTGTTATCTCTAATATTTTCTGTTTCCCTTTTATTCTTCTATTTACTCCTCTTCCTTCCTTTACTAATCCAAACATCAGTAAAAAAAAAAAAGTAGGTTAAGAAAAGTGGGAGGAGGAGGAGGAGGAGCTGTCACGACAACTACAATCCCATTAGGCAAAAGTTTACTACCATTGGATACAATATATTACATGTAATATAAACACAAGACACTAGTACAACATTCACAACAAATGTATTTATGACATATATGTAGGAATAAAACATAAATTACAGGTCATTTTGTAATTTTGTCTGTTCTGTTCAGGACAGTGTGACCAAACATTTTGTCTCAAACCTGAACCGTAGGTGTATACTTACTCTTGTGGCCGACTGTACATGGAATATGTAAGAAGCTAATAGTGAATGTAAAGGAAATTAATTATTAATCTGTTTTGATAGAATGATATACAGTAGATGTGTTGGTTAAAGTGAATGCCAAAAGAAAGAAGATGTTACAGATTGGGACAGGGTGAGTAGATGAGGGTTGAAAACAGGTAAGAAATGGGGAGATAGAGCTAAAAGAATGGTTGCGTGTATGATGAACAAGTAGCAGCAGTGTTAGCTGGGTGTAAAATTAGTAGAATGCTGTGACAAAATGTAAAGTTAATAAGCGCCCAATATCAGGAGGTGCTGAGTTACAGAACAGAGGAGTGAATAAAATGTGTTAAGTTTTAGGGTTACTGTGATAAGAAATAGCAGAAGAGGTATAACAAAAATAAAAAAGGCATAAAAAGTAAGGAATAGTCTCATGGTACAAGGAAGAAAATTAATGGAAAGAAATCTAGGGTGAACAGCAAACCCCCGATATAACTGATTAATTAGGGGGAAGAAGCTGATCTGTTAAAGCCGAAAGTCCATTATATCTGAATGCAGAATAATAATAGACTTGGTCCATTATATGCCAACATAGTGTGAATTGACCATGTGGGTCATTTCCCCCACACCACCACTTGCCACCGATAACACTACCACCATCAACACTACCACCACCAACACTCACGACCATCAACACTTACCACCACCAACATTCACCATCAACATTCACCACCATCAACACTCACCACATTCAACACTTACCTACATCAACACTCACCAACATCAACACTCCATACCATCAACAAACAGTTACCACCATGAACACTCACCACCATCAACACTCACCACCATCAACACTCACCAACCTCACCACCAACAACACTCACCACCATCAACACTCACCACCATCAACACTCACCACCATCAACACTCCACCATCAACAGTTACCACCATCAGCACTC